TGTTCCAAGTTAATGTAACATACTCCTTTCGAAGTGAGTAAATTTATCTATCGAAACTATACTTGCGCTATGCCTATATACACTATGGTACTGAATTGGCTTTGTCATAATATTAGCTGATCAAATCATGCACATCTCAACAGATTTAAGGCCACAAGTTTTCTATGTGGCAGGCTGTGGCGTCCAATTTTTGCACCCCATGGCTTTGTTGCGAAACCATGTCTTTACTAGGTCAAATATTATTTATTTATTTATTTAGATTTTTGTCATTTTTGAATAATTTTGATTGTTTTTTGTTTTAATTTCATTTTGGATTTGAGGGTTGGGTAGGAGTATATATACACACAACTTTCCAAAAGGTTTGCAGTCAAATAATTTAGAGTTTTCTAGTATGTAGTGGATTGCAGATTGTGTTCTAGCTAGGATGTAAAGCTTGTTAGCCCTTATTTTGTTACTTTTGGTGCGTTATCTCGCCACCTTAATTAATAAAAATGAATTATTTTGTTAAGATAGCTAAGCTTAGCTATTTGAGAAGGACTAACTAATGAGGTTCCTAACCAAAACCTCCGAGAACTATCCACAGTGATAATTAATAAGAGAGGTTGTGCTATAGGGTTTAGGGTTTACACTTTTGGTAATTCTCATTATTTATTCGCTGAAATATCTTAAAATAGTTCTTACGATGAATCGTTCTGACTCGGCCTTAGCTACAATTATCAATCCATACAGCACCTCAATCATCTGAGGCGGTCGCGCTCAAATTCTTTGTTTTTTTTTCCACTAAGAAGTATGGATACAGATACAAATACAATGATGCGATACAATACAACACGGCAATATTGAAAATTTCTAAAAATTAGAATATGATAGGGCATGTATACAACAAATAAAAATATATATAGTGATAAAAATATATAATTTAAAACGTAATTCATCGTTCACGTTCAAGTTCATATGATTTCTTGGAGAAGAAAGGTTAGAAATTGAATCCTCTTTATATACAGTAAGAAAGAGTGTGAGAGTCGTAATCATGATTTTAAACAGAGACAAACCCTTTCTATTCATCAACTTTCAATATAGCTCTTCCCAATTACTTTATCTTCATTATCTTTTTTGAAGTGTAAATGTATCTTATGAGGAGTATCCGAGACTAAGAGGCAAATATCATATCCAATCAAGTATATCAAGTTGAATATCAGAGTGCGCAACGAACGAGATTAACAAAAAATAAGAATATTATTAAACAACCGAGAATGCCGGAACGGCTACAAAATCTTAAGAGACTACATTGTGAATAACTTGATCCTCAAACTAAATTACAAGCTCTATTTATAGAGCAATAAACCTAAGAAACCCTAATGCTTAAATGCCAAAAATACCCAACTACAAAATCAAATCAAATCTCTAATTAATTTCCTAAATAAACCAAATAAATTTCAACACCCCCCGTCAAACTCATGGCGGTATACGTCTTGAGGTTGCCAACAAGCAGATGCGAATGCAAGACTCCAAATTCCAGTGCTAGTGCCAGTGCCAATGCCAATACCAATGCCAATACCAATTCTAATGCCAATACCAATACCAATGCCGATGCCGATGCCAATTTCCGATGCCAATTTTGATACGAAATTCCATCGGTGCAAGTACAAGATTCCAATGCCAGTGCCAGTGCAAGATTCCAATGCTAATGCCAATTGTGAACTCCATAACAAACCTGAACAAGCAAGCAAAAAAACCCAACTTTCGCAACGTTACTCGAGTAGTCACCAGTCCAAACACTCGAGCAATCGTCACGGAAGGCAACACCAAACCTCCCAATACAAGCGGCCTTAAAAACAACCAAACCACTGAAAAACAAACGACCACTATTTTCCCGATCCAACCTCAAACTTCACAACCTGAAAAGGACACATTGAAACCCACAAAAAATTCAAGATCCAGAGAACAACCTAGAGAGAGAAGAAACAAAACGACCCTAATATTTCTTTCATCCCCGTGTGGGCCTCCAAAAAAAAATCAAGCCTTTTTTTTCTTCAGACTACTACGACTATCAATACCGAATTTTCAAAGACAAAAAAAGGAACATAAACAGAGTGACCAAGAAGAACAAAGGACACAGACCGAAGCGGAAGCGAAAGCGTAATTGAGACCAAAACTAAACCAAAAGAACAAAAACTGACAAAACAAACTGATATCATACAAGAGCAGATTGGATCCAAAGGATCAAACCCACTTTGATACCAAGTTGAATATCAGAGTGCGCAACGAACGAGATTAACAAAAAATAAGAATATTATTAAACAACCGAGAATGCCGGAACGGCTACAAAACCTTAAGAGACTACATTGTGAATAACTTGATCCTCAAACTAAATTACAAGCTCTATTTATAGAGCAATAAACCTACGAAATTCTAATGCTTAAATACCAAAAATACCCAACTACAAAATCAAATCAAATTTCTAATTAATTTCCTAAATAAACCAAATAAATTTCAACATATCGATACAAAATACGCGATCAAACTACAGTATCCGTGCTTCATAGCATCCGCATATATAACTCATCTTTTTCAAATCGACACAGAACTTTGACATGGAGTAACATTATTAGTACACAACTAATTGTGTGTTTATCTGAAAAAAAAAGAAAAAAAAAACTAATTGTGTGTTTCGAAGTACAGTGCAGATAGTTTATGTTTCACAATACAAGACTCTAAAATGTAGGATTCTCTCTAGATTCACCACCACCTCATTTTTTTTGACACAATTCTGATACCAACATTATAAAATAATGTGTAAAAAATATGAGGTGGTGAAGAATCCATAAAAAATTCCACTTTTGATACAATTAGTAGTCTAACTACTTAATTATAAGCACATGCAAAGTCGTGAAATGGCACTAACGAAGTCGACTGAATGAAGAAAAGTTGAATGCTATTGGCTAGTATAAAAACCTTTGATTTGCTTATGCGTGAGGAAAAAAAACCTAATAGAGTGGTTCCACTTGTGAACCTTTTTTTTGGGTCAATTATCCAATCATGAACCATTTCATGTAGGTTTTCATCTTTTGCCAATGAAGTTTTGAGAACATGAGGATTCTCTTCGGATTCTCTTTGTGAGGATCCTGTAAATCCTCAAATCGTGATCGTTTATCGTATATCGTACAATCAGTTTTTATCAGGTATTATTCATATTTAATTTTAAATAAAAGTATTTAAAATGATTTATGGCACACAACATACAATGAACGGATACGATTTAAGGATCTCCAGAATGCTCACAAAGAGGATCCAGAGAGGATCCGAATTCTTTTTTAGAAGTGTTTAGACTGCCCCATCACCGCGCTCTTAATTAACTACCGGAGAGCCCTGTTAGACAAATAATTAGTAGCTAACTCAATTGCAGTTCCAGACCTTCTAGAAGGTGATACTGTGCCCTCTTCAAGTCTACATGGCCTGGCATTTAATTTATAAATAATCTGCAATTTTGGTTTCTAAAATATTTTACCCCAATAATAATGTAATTGATCTTTTATTTTAAAATGATGCTAGTAATTTTAAGTTTTAACACCAAGGGGTTGGTTTAATGAAAAGGAGTAAAAGTCTGGATTCTCAATGGACTCATTATTTTTACCGACTCTACTTTGACATAATGTTTGACTCGGGACCAAAATTACACTATTGCATTCATGTGGTACTGGGGGCTGTGTGGTGAGATGCCTCCTATAAAAAAAATGATGCTATTGTACGTACCAAATCTACTGACCACCATGTTGATCATCTCTTTATTTATTACAAACTAATGATATTTCTCTCTACTTATAAGTGGTGGTGGTGATGTGTGGATGGATGGGGTGTCTTAAGCTTGACTTCACGAATTGCAAGTTCAATAAATTGTTACAAGTCCATTATGTAACTTAGACTCATAGTGTTGTATATTCATAATATATTATATGTTACACACACACACACGCATATATATATATATATATATATATATATATATATATATTAAATCTGTATGCCCAGAAGCAATATATTGTTTGCTAAGAGAAAAATTAGTAAAGAAATGTATATGCAATATTATGTTGCTTTATATATATTAAATCTGCATGCCCAGAAGGTAATTAGAATTTAATCGATTAACCCTAAACCCTAATCATCGACCAGCATGCATTCCAACGGAACCGTAATATAAAATACACATGCATGATGAAAATAAATACACCGGCACACATGCATATATTGAATTTAACGGAGCCCTAATTGAATACGTACTATGCTGCATGCTATATATAATATATTAGTTTGTTTTAACCGTTTTAGTATTGCATAGATTGATAGTGAAAGCTCCAAATCACTTATTTTGTCACCTTTCTCATAAGAGAATAATATAAGGATAAATTGCTACAAAATGGAGTCTTTTTTACTTTTTCTAAATTCATCTACATATGAAGCTTAAACATGGGATGTGGATCTCATGGCTAATCAGCATTGAAGCTGAATGAACTGGACCAATAAGTGCACATAATGGATTATTCTTGATTATCTTATTCTTTATCTTCAACAATACGTGTAGAGAGAGAGACATTATGTGAAGTGGAAGCAAATTTATATGTTGGCTTGGTTCCAAAAAGAAAAGAACACACACAAAATACTTCATATATACACATATATTTTCTTTGATGCTTTTATAATATAATATGATGATTACCTTGCGAATGAAGAAAATAGGTATAGAAAAGAGACAAAGGTCATGGAGTCAAAGACAAGAGGATCCCACCTCTCTCTCTCTCTCATACAGCCAGGTCCCTGTCCAAACCGTTTTCTACCCAGACACATCAACCAACTCTCTCTCTCTCTTCCCTATATTGTAAGCAAACCCCACAACCATCACCATCATCATTATCATCATCATTCCCACCATATGAAGCCTTGTGTCTCTCTTTTTCTCTATAAAGTCATCACATATTTACATCAAACTAGTTGGGAGAGAATAAGACATCCAAAACATTAATTCTCGATAAGCCATCTCCTTTCACCCATCGCTCTCTCATCACAATGAGGAAGCCAGAGCCCTCCTCTGCAGCAGCAGGCAAGAACAACAAAGAGAACAACTCCAACAGTAAGCTCCGAAAGGGTTTGTGGTCGCCGGAGGAGGACGACAAGCTGATGAGGTATATGATCAACAATGGCCAAGGTTGTTGGAGCGATGTGGCAAGAAACGCTGGCCTGCAGAGGTGCGGCAAGAGTTGCAGATTGCGCTGGATCAATTACTTGAGGCCCGACCTTAAGCGAGGTGCCTTTTTGCCCCAAGAAGAAGAGCTCATTATCCATTTGCATTCTCTCCTTGGAAACAGGTTGTTTATCAATTAACACTTTTTACTAAATACATGTTTGATTTTTGTATATTCATGCGAAAGCTCTTCTAGTTTTTGTTGGTGTCACTTTCCATAAACGTATAGTTGATTCATCGGAATGTTTTGCATCTGCATGCTGTTGTGATTAATAAATTCAGATGCACAAGAAGTTACTAATTAGCTATACATTTTTCCAATGATACGCACATTATACAGGACAAGCTGGCATTCTCTTCTATTAAAGCTTTGGTGTGGAAGAGTAAATTCTAAGCAGAAAAAATTATGGATGTCAAATAAATGAGAAGGCTTATGTGACAAAGTTTATAAGAGGATTTTAGGATGGAATAGTTGTTGAGAAATATACAATCCCCATTATAAGTCATTGAAATTTTGGGGTCTCTACACTCTTTATTGACGATTTGACGTTTTAATTTTTTTAAAACGAAAAACTTATTTGATAACTTTTTCAGTTAATAAAAGAATAAAAACTGAAAATTTAAATTTAGACAATTTATTTTTTTTAGCTTTCATTTTCTTGGAAATCAAGTCAAGTCAATTTTTAGTTTTCATGTTTCATTTAAAAAAAAAAAAAAAAAACTGAACACCCAAAACAATTATCATATAAGTTTTTTAGTTTTTAGAAAAAGTAAAATAAAAGTTAAAAATTGTATATTAAATAGCATAGAATACATGTCATCTACTATGACTTTTTATTTAAACGAATATAATTTTCTTCTATCAATGAAAAAAAATATCACTAGATTTCAAGACGTCATTAATATGTTAATCCACTTACCAAGGGTGCTCAAAATATAATATTTTATATATAATATATGTATACACTATAAATATATTTTATTGTAAACAAATTAAAGCACTTTTGCACGACACATAAATCTAAAGTAATGCAACACTTACCACATTTGTCATATCATGTTTATACAACCTCTCTAATAGAGATATGATCCACTAACACATGTGAATTTCATCTCTGTTAGAAATATGGTACAAAATGGGGTATGAAAAATGTGATAAGGGTAACATTTGATAAATATATAGATATTGTGTTGGATGCTTGCATCAACCCATATACAAAAATAATTTATTCTTCGTCATAATACAGGTCATAAATAAATAACAAGTTGGTTAAGTTTTATTTATTTATTATTATGGGATTAGTATGCCAATGTTGACTATAATATCGCAAATATTGAAACTTATTAAATTTTTGGTATATATGAAAGTGAAAAAGGGTTAAAAAATTATGTCTATAAATTCATCTAAACTATAAGGAGGAGGGTTAGAACTTAGAACACATTGGCTTGAAAATAAATACTCTATCTATTAGAACAATCCACTACTTGCTAGTCCCTTGTTGTTCTTAGAATAATGCTTCCCCTATTGTTTTAAGAATAATGCTATTTACACTAAAATTTTTAATATATGCAAGACTCACTTGTATTAAAATGTATAATTTTTGTTTAAAAAAAAAGAAATAAAGGTATAGTTATTCGGTCCACATCCTATATAAGCTTCCATGCAAATTAACCATCAGTACACAAAAAAACATAAGACAACGACTGATATTAGAGTATTGTCTGGTGTAAAGGGAACATAAATTGTAAAATGTATAATTCACTTGGGTTTCTTATATGTTTCCTAGGGCTTCGGCTGCCAAAAGCTATAGTAAACTAAAGAAACTGGCACCGCAATATGATGTCTACATCTCTATACCTTTCGAGTCGAAGACACTCAAAATATTTATGTGTTTTAATTTAGGAAGGCATGCAAATCATGCATTAAGGAAACGCATATAAGAAGCTAAATAATAGACATAATATTTTATATATACAATACACACACACACATAACTCATCAAACACTAGTTGTTGGGGAAAAAAGAAATCAAACAATTCAATATTTTCTTGTTGGTCAAGAATGAAACACTCTTGTTAAAACCAACTCTTTTAAGTGGTTGATAATATATGACTTTTTTTATAACTATTTTGTTTTTATATACGTGTAGGTGGTCACAAATTGCAGCCCGGCTGCCAGGAAGAACTGACAATGAAATAAAGAATGGAACTCAACAATAAAGAAAAGGTTAAAGAATTTGTCATCCTCCAATGGCTCACCAAACACAAGCGACTCATCCCCAGAGGCTAAAGATCATCGTGTGGTGGCAGCCAGTAGGTTCATTATTCCCGGCCAAGAACATGGCATGGTGCCAATTTACATGGACTCAACATCTTCATTCATGCAATCTGCGGTCCTCAGCCACATGTTCGATCCATTTCCTGCACTCGATATTGATCAGGGTGGCCTAACCTTGCCCGGTGCAGGTGGATACTACAACGCCAACCCATGCATAACACAAAGGGAGATTGGAGTCGGTGGTGGTGATGATTGTTATAATTTTGGAGGAAACGGAGGGTTTGGGAGTGGGGATGTTGATATTGGGGTAGAAGGAGAGATATTTGTCCCTCCCCTTGAGAGTGTCAGCATTGAAGACCAAAATATTAAAACTGAAACCACCTATGGGGATAGTAAAAATAATAACATTTACTACAATAATATAAATAGCATCCTCACCTGCAATAAAACTAATAAAAATATTAAAGGTGAGAGCATAATTGGGGTTGGGAATTACTTTGACGATGATCAGGAAGAGTTAACAATGGGGGACTGGGACTTGGAGGATTTGATGAAAGATGTTTCATCTTCCTCCTTTCCTTTTCTTGACTACCAAAGTTGAGTAATTGCCTTCAAATATTCCAACATCTTTTTTTCCTTTTTCTTTTTAATTTTCTTCACATAATCTTTATTTTTTGTCCTTTTTTTATTATTTGAGAATCTCCTTTTATTCCTAAAGGTTAATAGAAAATTACTCCTAGTCATAGACTGCAGAAGTACCACAGCAGTGTTTATTCTACTTTCATATTACCACATGGTATAAGAAGGCAAGGTAGCTTAGATAAAGTGGGACAGTGGTCTGAAATAAAGGTCACACTTGAGTATATGTAAAGTGGTAAGGAAGAGTCTTTTATGTATCTGCTTTTTTCATGGCGCTGAGATGCTTCAAGTAGTGTGATATTTTGTGAAGGAAGATGTGAATAGCTACATAAAATGTAGGGAGAGATGCATCAAGGTTAATCATAATAATTAGTTGGTATGTATATCAATTGTGGCTATTATGAGATGTACAAAATAATGGCAGGTGGAATTTTTATCAATGGGTGATAAGTAGGTTTGTACTACACATTTGATGAAGATAATATACTTATTCCCTCTTTTTCACTTTTATTTATTTTTAATTATATCAAGTAAATATTTCATAAAAAATTTGTTACGACATTTTTCTTTAATGAGTCTTGACAAAATAATTACCCACTTTTGATCAAAGACCAAAGCCACACGCCCAAAGAGTGGGGCAAGGAGGGGGTGGTTTGGCCAATGGATCTCCGATGCATAAGTCAATTTCTCTAGAAAGAGAAAGAGTTTATGGTTTAGTTGCGTAGCGAAAGTTTACCAAAATTTGGTGTAGAATAGGTTATTTATAGGGAGATGTGATTGGCTATGGGAGAAAGATCTTGCGCCATGTGTCGTCATCTAGTTGGCCAAGGTGCGTCATCTGTTAGAGAGGAAAAAATTATCCCGAAGATATTATTAATTAAATAAAATATTGGGGGATTATCTTGCAGTATCCCTGATTGGATATGACTGTGATTCCTTACTTGATTGAGTTGGTATTCAATAAAGAAAACTTAACGATCAGGATTAGTTATTAATCCCCTCTTTTATTCCATTGTCTTATCTTCTTGCCATGGGCAGCGGAGCTTGGAGAGATTGAAGTCAGTAGTTCAGGTCTTCAATAGTGTTGAACTACAAGTGGAACTCTACCTTAAATAAAGGATTAAATAAAGCTAGAGAACATTTATTTTCCAAACAAAAAGGAGAGAAAACTGGAGGAAATTCTTCCTCTCCCTCAGTTTTCTTCTTCGCTTGCCCCGTGAAGAGTTGATCATCGTTGCCTTCTTCATTGTTGTAGCTATCATGCCAAGAAGTAAGACAATTTTCCTTTCCTTACCATCGCTGCCACGGGGGAGCTTAGGATTGGTGGGCAGGGGCATATGTGGTTGACATGGTTGTAGAGGTTGCCTAAAGGTTGAAGTGGCTTGGCTAAAGCCGAGGAACGGAGCCGCGTGGGTGGCTAGAGTTGCTAAAGATGGCTAGTGCATGTTAGGTTGCTGGGGAAAGAGTTGGGCCACTGGGCCTACCTCATTAGGCCGCTTGCAAGTGAAAGAGATAGGGCTAAGACGCTGGGTTGGGCTTAGCACGGGGCCTTAGGGTCAGTCTACTTAGAGGAGAGAGCATGGGCCATAGGCCTCCGTGGCTGCTACTGCAACTGCTTCAGCCATGGGGCCTTAGGCTACGACCTAATGCCTCTTCTTCTTTCTTCTTCCTTCTGCTACTATAACTGCTCGAGCCATAGGGCGCAAAAGTGATAAATATCCTCAATTTAAGTATCGTCAAAGCAAGTTTTCAGGCAAAATGGGATACTTCAGAGTTCCAAAAGCCAAGATTGGCCATAAGGAATTGTTCCAGGATTTTCTCAAGAAATACATGCATGCAATCCCCTCCAGGGTTTATGTGAGGCAGGTGAAAAACAAAAGTATCCATGATTCGTGCACTAAAGCTGCTTAAACGGGGAAGAGAGTGATCATATTTCATTTGTAATACTTCATACTGGGATTCACCTTTCCCATGTCACGCTTATTCTAAAAGGTAATTTGCTCAATGCAATCTGTGCGATTGTAGGATTTCATAAGTTAAGCAAATTCTTCAATATGCACCTAACCATTAACGAATTCTATTACTTTTTTTTAGATTGGTCACAAAGATGGGGTGGGGCAGTTGAGGTCTGCATGCCATAAGCTCTTGAATTCTTCAAACATGGGTGATCATGAATAAGCCAAGGACATATTGGAAGTTATTAGAATATAAATTTGACTCGTCATCTGAGCCAAGCGCCTGATAAAGTTTATAGTTGGTAAGTGAATAGCTTTCTCCTTTGTTTGCTTGAGATTTCTAGTGAGCTGCTCTTGACTTCAGGTTACTAAATATCTTCTTTTCTTGTCTAGGTTTTGAGTTTGGCATAACTTCGAAGATCAAACCTGACATGAAGAAACTGCGTGTCACCATGGGTATTCCAGTCGAGTACCACAAATGGCACTAGGTGCTTAGTCATTTTCTTAGGGTGAAAGGTGGACCGTCTCCCAAGAAAGAGATTAAATGTATCAAAGAGAATACATATGCTTGCCTGATCGCCTTTGTTAAGCTCACTATTACTTGCTAGTGAGAGTGGTACGAGAAGAGCTTCACTACCTGCATGTGAGTCGTCGGTCGATAAAAAGCCAACGAATTATTTTGTTGCCCACATAAGTTCTTCTACTCCTAAGAAACTTGTCATCAATTTGTCTTCCCTAGATGAAAAAAAAGAACCCGCTAAGCTTAAGCCAATGAAGTATGCTGCTCCAAAGGAAGCTAAATCCATTACTGAGAAAATTGCTTAACGCAAGAGTTTTATGTTGCCTCTATGCCTGGGTTTGGAGATCGAGTAAAGCGTCCATCTGGAGCTATGTCTGTATCGGCTTGCAAGAGGCTTACCACTGTGATGTGTAGGAAGGTAGACTCAGCTGCTAAAGAAATACCGAAGCCTATTCATTCTTCTGTTGTGCAGCTGAGCTGCTTGCCTAGAAGGAGGAAAATGTTTCTAAGGGCAATTATACTTGAAGAGTTTTTTGAGATTCACTCGTTATTTAATGATGATCTACTTAAAGATCCATCTGGTTATGCCAAGTTTGTTGAAAGTGTTAGGAAAACAGTGGGCTTGGGTGCCTTTTCGAATTGTGCTACTGATGAAAGAAGAATTTCACTTATTGCGACTATACCAAAAATTCTTATAGCTAAGGCCGTGTGCTTGGATAACGTCAACTCTGCATGTAAGTTTTGATCCCCACAAGACTCCGGTCACTGAATGTTATAAGGGCATCTAAAGCGGGACCCTGTTGTCTGAGGTTCAACGAACCGAAGTCATTTGAGGAATAAGAATGCCGACGTCCTTTGGATAGAGAGAACCCTAGGGGCATAGCCAGAAAAGATTATCCCCGTATCTCTAGCAAGCTAACAGTTTAGGTCAAGAGCCCTCTCTCCCTTACAAATGAGTCCATGGAACCACTTAAAAAGTTCTCCTAGCCTCGATTCAAATCATTTCATAGAGATTTTGATAAGGATTATCACGTTATGCACTTCTTCCACATATGGTGGTGGGTGAATTTGGTTCCAACAATGGGTGCTTTCATTGACAGTAAACTCATATTCCTCTCGATTAGATCACTCTACCCTTATGAAAACCTTTCCCAGACAGTCATTATATGGTCGAGCCCTTGACCCGAATAACTAAAATAGCTCTTTAATAGATCAAGTACGGGACAGAGTGTTGATGATACATGCATCGATAAAGGATCTTTGAAAACATTTACAATCCAAATAGTGGGTTGGACTTTTAAGGCTAGAGGAATGGATGAAAAATTTAGAAGATACCATCATCTGTTTCGAAAACTGACTATCTAGACACCACCAAGAATGCCTAGTCCAGGTCCATGCATGCTGACCCTAGAACATGCTCCAAAAGCACGCCACAGAGAACTCAAGGTCTACTCTTGATCCAATGTTCGAGAAGAAAATTGTTTCCCAAGGTCAACTGCATAGATGGAAAGCAAGGACTCTTTCAAAAGGCACAGAAGGGAAGGAAGACGACACATGAAGGACCTCGATCTCCACGATCCCTGTTGTAGGAATAGATGCTACCTACCCCTCTTTGATGGTGTTCTTGTTATTAAGCTGCAAATCTCTGACTCTATGGTAGGCCGAGTTTTGATAGATAATAGAGCATAAAGTAACATCCTTTTTAGGGTTGTGGTCGCAAAAATGGGCATCCTCAATAGGGTTAACAACAGAAGATCTACTATCCAAACCTTTGATGAGACCTCACTCTATACCTTGGGAATAATAAAGCTTGTGGTGTGAGTGAAATCGTCCAAACATCTTATGACCTTCCATGTCATGGATTGCCAATCCCTTACAACGCCATTCTTGACCAAGAATGGTTGTACAACATGGGCTAAAAGGGAAGCAAATAACCGATGCTAAAAGGGAAATACCCTACTAGTGAAAGACATGCCTCTCACAGACCTTTCCATATTGCCTAAGAAAAAAGACAATATCAAAACTACACACAGTTTGATTCCCATTTTGGGATAGGTAGGCAGTCCATTCCAGATTCGACCATAACGTCACTGTTTGCATGAAGACAGGTCAAAGGAAAACTCATCTTGTAATGGCCCACCATAAGCTTATCGTCAAAAGTGATCCCTGATGTAGTTTTTACATTATATCATTGTTTCTTAGAACCAGTAATTTGATTCTCCTTCCCAAATATATGTAGATAATCTTTCCTAGATACAATCATATTCCATTTTCAATGAATCCTATTATTGGAACCAAATCTGCACACCTCCGTTAATGATGGTTGAACAAAAATTTGAGTAAACCAAAGCAAATTGTAAAACTGTAAAACAACCGTAAGCAAGTCTTAGGCCGGGGGGTGTGCTAGCCAAAGGTTCTCCGACGGTTAAGTCAGTAAAGGATTTGAGACTCAAGCAATGGGCAAGAGAATTCAAGTGAATAGATTGTGTTACCGTGGATGAACCCTAGATGGGTGTATTTATACAGTGGGAAAGACACCTTTTTAGGATAGAATCATTGTTCTAAGCGAGAGAATCTTAGAGAATATCTAGAAAGTAGATATTGCATCTTTTTTGGAGTTGTGATTACTTGCGGCAACACCTATCCCTAGTTTGTAGAGATTTCAAAACTTATAGGATTTGATTGTGTCCATATTCGGATTAAATCGTATGTCTTGTGGAACAAGCATGGTCATCTAGTGAAGTTGCTAGGACTCTGCCTAGTGCCCCGGAGTAGAGTGGTGGTGGCACCCAACTTCATTTGATGCAACTCTGCCTGGAGCTATTGAATCTATGACCAGACTTCTGAGGTAACAATATTCGAATTAGCCTTACTCTGGCCCTAGAAAATCATGGTCCAACACCTATTTTCACTATAAATAAAGAAGCTTTATTTGTCTTCATTTCAATATTTACTCTTTTTTTCTCTTTATGGTGATGTAGGGAATACTTTACTCACTTCAAA